ATGCTCCAAAACTTTCATTTGTTTAGTCATTTTGTGGGCCTTTATTTAAATCTAGGGTTACCCATGCCTCTGAAATGTCTCAAACATTGTGAGAATGTCATAAGGGAAACAGATCACCAACATTGAATTGTCTCAGCCTACAAGGCTGGCTTAATAAAAGCGAACAATGAAATTCAAATTGCAACTTAACAGTATCAGAAGTGTCTTAAAGCAACATGCTGTGCTACTTTTCTTATGTTTGGAAGTATGACCTAAGTAAAAAGAGTTATACCGATAATTATTGCTAAACTGGGAGTGAGAACTGTGTTCAGATGACATAAAGCAGTTTGGATTTGTCTGAGCCCTTTGAGGTACCACAAGGGGAAGCGTGATGAAGTCAGCAGTTTTCCACTGAGTATGACAAGGATTCAGATTCCATCCAGATCACATCTTTACCTTAACATCAAGAACCTCTTGAATAAGATGTTGAATTAAAGCCCTGAATGCTCAAGATTAAACTCTTTGGTGCAAAGAAATTCCCCATGTTGCCTGTACTCACTATGACCAAGAATTTTGGAAAGAAATGATCCATATCAAAAAATAAAATATTGGATGATGTTTCAGGAAGGCTGATCTTTGAAACCTGCTGTAGTATTCATTGATGACCAATTGTATTGCCGTTACATGAAATTTCACTGATTTATAAATCTGCTGTACAATTCCACTTAAATCAATATAGCTGTGCTGATATAGGCCAGATGAGAGCTTGGAGTTGCCTTTGCTCTGCTGGTACTTTTGAAATTAATCAGGATGAGAGTAACATTTCAGAGCTACAGTGTGTGGCAGTAAAGTATTACTGTGAGTTAACTAGTCTCATTGTCGGTAGAGGCTGTGGGGAAAAACTGGTTGCCAAAATATGGAAAGTATGGTTGTGAAAGTTTGAATAGCTCAAATACTTTTCTGCAGAGCATTTTTAATGTCTTTAAGTGGTTTATTATTTATGTTTTTCTCTGAAGAGATGAAGGACAAATATAGTTTTATTTAATCTTTTCTATGTACTCTGATGGGTTTGCTGCTTTCCTAGAGTACTCACACACCTTACTTGTAGTTTCTGTGTTTCCAACCAAAATGAAACAGACAATATTTCTTTTTTGTTAAGATTTCTAAAAAATTTCTTTTTTAGAAAATAAGAAATTATGCACAAAATCAACACTCTTAAGTGCATCCTGTATAGCATTTTTCTTCATTCATACCAAAGGATCTTTTTAAATGTAGGAGAAGAATAAATCTGTGTGTTGACATGGACATAGACACTGTTTGCTTCTACTCCTTTCTGTTTCTCAGAATCAACAGAGCTGACACGACAGACTCTGTGTGGGACTTGGGCCAGCAGGGAAGTTGTGACTGTATTAGCACTTTTCTTAGTGTTCCTCTATGGCCTTTTGTTCTGTATTGACTTTACATTGATGCATGATAAGGTATTGAGCTGAAGTATTGTGTCTGCGAACCAAAGGTCTTTACAAGAATATTAAGAAACTTACACTAGTACAGCTTTCTGCATGTATTTTGGCATTCAGTCTAAACAAATTATCAAGTTTGGAAATACGGCTTTTTAAAATATGTTACTCATCTTTAAAAAAAATCTTTTAGAGAAGCACAAATATCTAATGGCATTTGACAGTAAAAATACTATGGTTTATTCAATGATACTGTAAAAGTCTTTTAAATTTTGCTGCTAAATCATTAGCTGGACAGTGATTCTTTTCCCCATGACTAGTAACCTGTCTTGCCCATGAAAAAATGTTTTTGCTTTGCATTGAGGAACAATACTGAACAAAGAAATCATTATTGTATAATGTTTTAGATTCTCTTATGATTTCAAAATACTCTCACACATACATATTGATTCTTTCCTATAATCATGGCTTGGAGCAGTGAATTCAAAAGATTAATTAGAGATTACATAGAATTTTATTTTATTATTTTACTGCTTTAGTATACTGCCCCCTGTCTGTAAGAGTGATGTGCTGAGAAGGGTGCCTAATATTTTAATCTCTATATGTTACTGTATAATTTCCTATTGAAAACATATTAATTTTCTTGTTCAGAAAAACCTTTGTCCCTTTATTAAGATGACTCATAGGAACTGAATTCAAAATTTTAAGTTATATTTAGGATTGGGAATAGGACCCAAGGCGCCAGACTTTGCTTCTGTTACTTAGACTGTAGCAAGATTCATGAGCGAGTCAAATTATTGTTTTCTTTTGTTAACACGAAATTTAAAATGCCAGTGTCTTACCTAATAGTCCAAGACTACAGTAAGTCCCAGTTGTTTCTGCACAAACTGAAATCATGTTGTCACTTCAGGTTTTTTTCCTTCATGCTTCAGTCCCTTCTCTGGATCTGCTGTTATTTTTTCCCCAGACCTTTACTTGTGGTGAGAAACAATTAAAATAATTCACTTTTGTACAGTGAACTTCTGATGAATGTTGACCTTTAAACCTTAAAAAGACAATCAGACCATTGAATGTGAAAGATTACCATTTAAATTATTAGAATTTTTTTTTTTTTTTAGTATAAAACTGTTGAAAGATGTTTGAAAAGTAATAAATGGAAAAGAATTCCTGTTATGGAGATCTCATAGGTTGGAACAGCAGTTTAAGAGAAGTGTTGAAATTTCTAGGACTGGTGAGAGCTAAGATTCAATTAAACAAAGCAGCATGAAACCTGAAATTGGAAGCTTACAGAAGTGGCAAATAAATTGTCTTAATAAGGTCTTTTTCATATTTAATTTCTTTAATTGTATTTAAAATCATTAATAATACAACATGTGTCTGTGGATTGCATGTTTCATGAGGGATGCCATGTCAGAACAGATAAGATTGTAAGCTTTGGGATGACTTCCACCCTTTCACTGGTACAAATGTATAGGTAAGGAGAAGAGCCTCTTTTTCAGTGGGGGTTGTAACAGGAAATCATGTTAGTCCTGACACATAAAACCCTTTACTCAATAGTGTGTTTATGTTTCATATTAACGTGCATAAAAGCCTTCTTATTTGATTAATTAGTAGATTAATTATTACTTTTTTACCATTAGTCCCAGGGCAGGCATGAATCCCTGGGTGATAGGCATTCAAGAAATTATAAAAAAAAAAAAAGTAACCCACATTCTAAAAACTTTGCTGTCTGAATATAAAATTTTGCTAATCTTATAATCCAGATTTTGCACATTGAGGCACTTTTCAGTGAAGAGTGGCACTTCCAGAGGAGGAACCTGAAAATTATATTGCTAACACTACTAGGGTAGAAAAATTGATATGTTCCTACTGATTGTCTAGTGGAAATATGGGGCACTTACATTTATTTCCTGTTTCTTAGGCATTAAAGCCAGGGTGAAAAACCTTTGTTTTCCATCTTGCTAAATAAATTGGTGATTCAAACTTCCATGGTTACTTCTCTGTGATCTAAATCACATGATACTCTTTTCTCTGTAATAATGAGCTTTCTGATGTGAATGCCTTCAGAAAGCAAACATATAATCCATTTTCTCTGCCACTTAACAACTTTAAAATTGCTTTCATTACTGCTTTTCCTACTAAAACACAATTACACGAATTTACCAGAAAAATGTATGAGTAGACCCAAAGTAAATAAATTTGATTAAGAATTTCAATATATGTTTATGACTAACTTTATTTCAGCATTCATAGAGTAACTTATGGTAACTACATATGAACTAGCATTGCTATTATAGGTTCTAAATCTTCTTCATTAGTTGCTATAAAAATATTGATTTTTCTATTTTATATTGGTGCTCCAGATCATCAATACTAAATATATTATTCTGTGAACAAAATTATTCTAAGTCACAAGCTGGTTTTTCCATAGATAAATCTGAATGTAAAATGGAGTCAATTGCCTAGTGCCGTAATGATTGTCCAAGCACAGGGAAACAGCAGATGAGAGCAGTCATAAAAGTTGACACACTTTGACTTGACTCATTTGACCATGCAAGCCTGAATACTTGATACACTGAAGTCTAGTTTCCATAATACCCTTGAACCAAAAACAAGTAATGAATACACCTCATTCCTCTTTCACTCTGCCTTTTTTTATCCTGATGTAAATTTAAACTGTCATCTTTAATAGATTTATTTGTTTCAGTGCAAGTGAAAGGCAAATTAGATCCTTTAAATGCATTCCTTGTTGGGTTTTCCCCTCTGCTGTAAGAGAGGGAAGAACTTGCATTGCTCTATTGTTGTTCTTTTCTACTGATTTATCTCCATGTTGAGAAGTCCTTTCTGTACTAATTTGAAATTCTTTCTCCACATTTTATTTAAATTGCCACATGCACTTGTTAAATAATTCTAGTCTGCTTGGGTTTTGTTGCTCTTTTCTTTTTCTTTCCATGCTGACTGATTGCCATCTGGGGGCTAACATGAGCCCACCATACTAATTTCCCTTATTCTACCCATTAACTGCTATTGTCTCCGGGGTCAGAGACAAATGTAAGGATGCACTTTATCTCTCAGCTTACAGAACATCTCACACAATGAGCCTTGTATTACGAAATGGCTACATCAGCCTCCAATCACTCAGCTCTGCCCCGCGTTGAATGCTGGTGTACCTTGAGAAACAGCACGCAACAGCACAATTGTTTAAGTCCTCAGATGGTTAACATTGTGCATAACCTCCTCACAAATTACAGCCTCAGCTGCAGCACATCCATTAGTCTGGAAGAATGAAGATTCCCAAGCGGCCCTGGTGCCTTTCCCAATTCCCCTGCGACCCGCCAATCCTCTGAGCGCTTTCTCTGCATGTAGGGAGTGTTCCGAGCTAATCAGGTCAATGATCATCTCACGGCTCAGGGGACATGACAGGAGCCTATCACAGCACTTACAGGATCCTCCAGACCTGAGCACGCCGGCTGAGAATCTCCCGCTAAGAAACATTGCTTTGGTGCCTCTTCTCTCACTCCCCACGAGCCTCTGAGGATTTCAGCTGATCTCTCTCTCCTCCAGACAGTGAGGAGTTCACTGAAAAAAAGGCAGAGCAGCATGCGGCTACCCGGAGGGTGTTGATTGAAACTTAGATTCTCCCCGATCGCTGTTGATTGGACTGATGCTCCAGCATTACCAGGGAAAAGATTTCAATTAAGGTAAGTGCTGCTTTATCTGGCTGCCTGCGTCGTGCCGAGTTTCTGCATGGAAAGTTGGAGCAGAGTGAAGCGCCAGCCTGCACTGCAGCAAGGGAGCCCGCGCCGGGGAGCGGGCTGGGGGCAGCACCCGCGTCCCAGCCCGCAGCACCCCTCGGCACCGAGGCCAGTTCCAGGCAGCATCTCACGAATGGCTGCCCTTTTCTCCCACCCTGTGATTCTCTGAAGCTTGCAAAAAAAAAAAAAAAAAAAAAAAAAAAAAAAAAAAAACAAAACAAAACAAAACCCAAACCAACAAACAGAGAAGAAGAAAAAAAAAATTGTTAGAAGCATGCAGGAGTGCGAGAAGGCAGGAGGAGGAAAGGCAAGTGCACTTTCCCTCCCTGTGTATATATTTGAGGAAGCACAGCAGCTGGAAAGCAAAAGTGCATTATGATAAAGCATAACCCTGAATAAGGAGCATCATTCCCTCACCAGCAGGAACTCCTAGATGCAGGGCTTTAAAGTCCCGTGCCATTTAAATGAGACAGTAAGGGATTCTTGAAATGTGAGTCAAAAATATGCATGCAGCTTTCCAGGCTGCCGTCAGACTGAAGACTCCAACTGGTATGTGGAAGGAATGTTATGCTTGGAGGGTGGTAGGATTTGGATAGTTGCTTTTGCGGGCTTAGCATTTCTCCTCTGTGTGGGGGGGAAAGAGTGAGTAGGGGTGTTGTTTCAATATAAGTGGCCAGAAAATGAAATTGGTTGCTATGGGGTGAGAGCAGTGTTTGACTGAGGAGAGGATGCATTTTTTCATGGGCTGATAGAAAGTGAGACTATCAAAAGAAATAGACTGATGCTTGGAGATCTTTATCTGTAAGGAAATAAGACAGTAGATGAGGGAGGCTGTCTTGAAAGATTAAATGAGTAATAGGAAAGTGTCAGAGATTTTTACACAGCCTGGAGTTAGCTAGCCTTGTACCTATGGTCTATCTACCCTGACATTTCTAAAGTGAACTGACTTGGATAGTCTCAGTCTTGTCCATGCTTGATAACTGTGCTATCAGGGGATGTAATTAAGGAGTGTGCAAAGAGGCCAAACTTTTTAATACTGTAAGGGATGAAATTAGGATCTGTTGCGTGGAAAATGTCAGTTCTCTCTGTTGCCCTTAAAAGTTAACGAATTTTTTTAAAACTCGATCATAATGGAAAGAAAGCATTGAGGGAAAGTTAAGTGATTTCAAATCTTCATAGCTTTGACAGATGTATAACTTTTAGGCAGTTTATAAAAGTGTGAATTTATTGCACTGGTTGTTTTCAGCCAATGGTGTTTATTGTTGTTATATATCTCTATTGTTGATTATTGTTTATTGTTGGAAATACAATTCATAGCACTATATCCTGCATTAAGAACTCAGCTAATCAATATGGACATATACTTCTCAAGCCTCTGCCCTGCTCCACGCCTCCTCTCCGCATCACCACCTGCCCCTCTGCTCCCCCCTCCTTGCTCCCAAAAGAAAAGGAAAACAAAAAAAAAAAAAAGAACAATTCCAGCAAATGTTGGTTACCTGCAGGTTACTTACTCCATTAACCTTTTCAGTGAAAAAGACCAAGTTGTCTTGCAAAAACATTAGCATAGGGGGAAATGACCTGAGGTTTTAGGGGGGTGTTTGAAGAACACTGACAGTTTTAACTGTCAATCTCTATATTCTCCTTGAAAATTATTTTGGAAAGTAGTATTTTTTATTATACTGTTGTCAAGGAAAGGCAGCTGATTTTGGAAGTAGTTACATGCACTGATCCTCATTTTGGTGCAGCATATGGCTCACTTCATTTTTCATGTTATGTTTATATGACATTTACTAAATGCCTGAGTGCTTCCTCCACTCAGAGATGCAAGTCTTGACCAGGGTAGAAGTATTTCAATGCACATATAAGGATGCATTGTATATTTCTTCACTTTTTTTCTTTCACAACTAATCAGTGTTTTTTCAGCATAGTATTCATTCATATACTTCAGAGTATTCGTTATTAAAAAAATCAAAACACAATAACTTAATGCATGCAAGGGAAAAAAAAAATCCAGCATAAAGCAGTTGCAGTTGGAGACATCTAAGTTACCTACAGATAGCAGGAAGTTCCCTTCCAGTCTTTCACAAGGTCTGACTACAAACATTGTTTGACATGATGGCTTTGTTCTCCTTTTGTTTCACAAAGCTGTTGCTGTAAGTAAAAAATAAATAAATCACACTTTCATGGCAATATGTCTGTGCCTTTCTAAACAAGTCTTACAAATGCATCTCTATTATTATTTTACAAGATCACATGTTCTATCTGCTTGTAAGTGAAGTGCTTACTTTCCAGTGTGCCAGCCTCAGAGATTTTATGACATGAAAGTTTACCAAACACAGGGAAAAGCTTGCTTTTCTCATGTTTTGATAAAAACCAACAATAATTCTATAATTACTTCCTGATCTTTTCTGCTGGTGGGTTGTGAGCCTGTTCATACATAGTAATGATCCTAGAAGTGACCTCAGCAATATGAGGATGCAATATTCCTCTCATTAAGCAAATAAATTGGGGCATCTGACTTACTGAAGCTTTTCAGACTTGTTAAACACAGGCAGACAGATTACACAGGAAGGCAGCATAGCCTAGTTCCCTCTCTTGGTTTTTTTACTCTAAGGCTGTATCAAATACTGTTAAATATATATCTATATGCAGAGTTCAACTTTATTTCAAATATTTCAAGTTCTTTGAATGAGGTTGGTGTTAATTTTTTTTGCCTCAAGCTAAGTCTCCTTATTACTGACAGCAGAGTACGATTATTATCTAGCCCAACTCCGTTGAAAATTAGTGTTTGATACTATTGCTTTAATGTTTTATGAGCTTTTTAGGGAGATTCATTAAAATGAGGCTTGGAAATGGGTAAAGGAAAGGGCGTTTTATGAAAACTGACATGAAACCAACAACAAACCAGTGAGGAACAGTCCTGGGATAGCGACATGTGAAAGAGGAAACAGCTTTTAATGACTATAGTTCATAATCCAGATAATGTAAAAGAGATCTAATATCCTAAATTATATATAATTTCAAGAGTATGGGGTGACAGTGAGTTAGAACAAACTTCAGGTGTTAATGAGTTTCCATAGTTTCCCTTCTTGAAGATATATGGGGAAATTTCTTTACCTGAAAGGGAGACTTTTTAACCCTGTGATATTTACATGTTATGAAGCTGACACCAGCTTTCCTAGCAAGACCATTGTGTCCCACCAGACTCTTATTATCTCTTTTTCATTGTTGTTTTCATAATCTATTTCCTGGACACTTGTTCTTGCATCTCAGGGTAACATCTTCCTCTTTGTAAAGTCTCATTTTCTTCCTGATGATACATGTTTACCTTTATTCTTTTCCTCTTAGCATCCTTTCCTTCTCTTCACCTACCATGATTCTTCGCCTTTCTTTAATGCTGCAGGGACATCACTTTTTACACTGGGGCCATCTGTGTAAATTTTGCATTTTTAATTGGAACAAAAGCCGCACTGACGACGCTTCAGTGCTCACAAGAATGGGACATGTGCGCTCCAACGACTCTACCATCTCTTCATCGCCCTTTTGTCTAGTTTTTAATGGGTTTTGATTGTACAATCTTTGTGTCAGGGGCTGTATCTCACTGTACAGTAAGTAGCTAGAGCAGTGAGATGTGGTTCTGCTTCCAGCTTTGGAGCTTGTGTGTGTGTCTAGACTGCAGAAATCTCCTGCTCTTCACTGGTTCATAAAAACAATGCAAAGTTTTAGTCATCTGCCTCAGTATGATATTGTTTTTGCAAAAGCATACATTACAGTTAAAAATAAGCACAGATTACAATGTATATATTATGCTTTTAAATGAGTAACTTTGAGCATATTTTCAGTGGTTGCTATTTTCAAGCCTCAGCGAAAGCTGCATCTCCTAATAAGTTCATATAGAGGCTAATCTAGTCTTTGCTACTACTTCTTCCTGGCTTCTCTTTTTGTTGTGGCTTGTCATAGGTAAGGTAACATAGCATGTTAAAGAATGACTTTCAAGCACTATCTTCTTTTGTATTAACAGAACCTTTCACAAAGGCCCAGTTGTTTTGTAGAGGTGTAACTTACCGGCATGTGTCACAGAATATTTGTTCAGGTAATTATTTTGTAGCAAAGCTTTGAGGATTGTCCCTCTTTTGGGAGAGACAAAGCTTCAGTCTGCTTCTTTGTTGAACCTTCTAGCCTGGTGGTTTGAGTGAGGAAAAATATTTCCAGGTAGAAAAATTCTACTTTGAAATGAAATACACACCTACCTAACCACATTGATTACTGGAATTTGGATTTAGCAGAGGTCAGGTTTCACAATGCTGATCTTGCAATGATTGTTTAAAGATTCTCCTCTAACCACCAGATGGGAACTAAGAGAGTTTACATCATGAGACTTGGTCAGGTTACTTTAAGAGCAGCTGTGGTTCAGTTTCTGTTGACTTTATCACTTCAGATTTTAGGGTGAGGGGTCTTCCTGTAAAGATCAGATTTGCTGACGTACACCAGACAGTCCTGGGCTGGAGTACCATCTTTCTGCTGCAGATGTCTCAGCTGTCAATATTTTTTAAGGCAATGGCAGTGCTGTTTGGGATATGTATGTTGTAAGCTTTGTTTACTGTCCTGTGTTGCAGCAGAGTGTGATTTGGGGTCTGTGGGTACTGAAGTCCATCTCTGTTGTACTGAATAGCCCAGACCTGAAACCACAGCTCAGATGTGGCAAACCTTTATGGAGATATTCATAACAAAGTAGATGTCTGAGATTAAAAATAAGAAATTGTTGAAGAAAAATTCTGTCTACCACATAAGTTTAAAAGTTTTGTATTTAGGTACCAGAATTATGTGTTCTGTTAGCTTTCAGAGTACAGTATATTTGGAACAGTCTCCAAAACTGATGATAAATACTCAGTTAAATGAGTTGGATGAATAGTTTTTGTTTCCACATTTAGGCCAGATTTATTATT